CAACTCGGAGGAGAACGTGGTGGTAACAAACAACCACGTTGCCAAAGTGGCGCCAGGGGCCCGAGCACAGGAAGAGGAGGACAAGGAAGCGGCGGTGGCCGCGGCAGGTCCGGCCGGGGAGGCGGGGCACTTCTACCGGGATAAATCCAATTTGACTGGCGAAGCGTCCCTGCGCCCCAATGGGCAGATGAAGTCGCTGGTGCCTCAGCGCCTGGCGCTGGAGTACATCGTGCCCTGCATGAACAAGCATGGCATCTGCGTGGTGGATGAGTTCCTGGGTAAGGAGCTGGGCGGGCAGATCGAGCAGGAGGTGCGCGCTTTGCACCACACTGGACGCTTCACCGATGGGCAGCTGGTCAGCCAGAAGAGCGATTCCTCCAGGGACATACGTGGCGATAAAATCACCTGGGTGGAAGGCAAAGAGCCTGGCTGCAAATCTATCGGAAAGCTTATGAACAGTATGGACGATCTTATACGCCACTGCAATGGCAAACTGGGTAACTACAAAATCAACGGCAGGACGAAAGTGAGTGGCATCCTCCTCTTTCTCGTCATCCTGTAGTGGTACTTAAGCAGCTGTCTGCAGTGAGGCCTTGTAGCTGTTGATTTAGTCCTTTCTCACTTTACGTTCCCTAAGCACATTTATATTTAGGACAGTTTAATAGCGTAATTGAAGGCCTCAAATTGTGGGTGAGTGATAAGGGCCAGAGAAAGATTGTGAGAGAGCACCCATAAGGGATCCTCCAATTCTCTGATGGTTTCTTAAGAAATGTATGCTTTGGGTTAATCCCAGCTGAATTTAGTAGAACTTGAATGCTTCTGATTGAATAAATTGCGTACCAGCTAAATAAGCACTCAGTTAAACCATCCAAAATCTTTATCTAACGACCACATGATAAAACTTGGTTTTGCTCATAATTCAACTATATAAATCAGTACCATTTTTAAGGTCCACAGAGGAGGAATGAAGAGAAGACAGAAGGTTGAAAAAATTATTCCATTAATTTTTCCATATAGCCAATTGATACCATAGTTGTGTTGCATAGTATGTGTTGCTGTGATTGAAATGAGGTTCTTGTAAAATGACGTTCTGCTTTGTAGTTGAACAAACACATGCGGAACAGAAACAGTAAAATAGAGCGTAGTCATGTCAATAAAAATAGAGTGTAGTCATGTCAATATCTCTGACTTTATCTTCCCTTATTTTACCCATATACCTGTAATGGTATATGGATGATAGATATTATTTATTGAATTAGCTAGAAGCACTACAGTATTATATCATGGTGTAATCCTGGGATGAATTTGAATCTAATGCTCAATGCCTTATTCAGTCTTGATTATTTTTTAACGCTGCATGGTTATAGGATGACATTTAAAGTACATCTTGTTACATATAGTACAAAACTCTTAATGCCCGAAAAACATACAATTACACTTATGTTTAGTGATAATTTCTCATAGTAAACTGAAAAGGCGTTGATTAAGTTGGATGTTATGGCAGCCATAAAGTTACTGTAGTTTTTAATAACTACCTTTATTTAGGGGCTAATGCATTTTTGATCTTATATTGATATATAGGAACAAAGTTTCATAGTGTTATGTAACCAACATTACATATCAGTGAAACTGTGTTATGATTAGAAAGTATTATAAATCTTCTTTATTGTGGTTGTGTTTCTTTGTGCATGATATTCTGAGTTAAACTACTGTAGGATGAGCAACACCACTTTTTAAAATGTGAACATTTCATTAGACTAGTTGGAGATGCAAGAACTACCTGGGATTATATGCCCAGTTCTCACCCCTGTAACCAATAGGATAAAGCAAATTTGGATGAGGATTAACACTTGAACATTTGTTGGAAGGAACTGAGAATTGTTTGTGGGAAGACGTTATCAGATTTAAAATATAGACAGTATCCACCCTTTAGAAGAAGTATTGGGTTATGTACTGATACTATAAAAGTGTATAATTATCTCTTAACAATATTTTTTTTAAATGTTATATTCAGTGTGATGTAACTGCTAATGTGCTCTATAAGTCCAATATGTTAGAAAAGTTATATCTTGGCTAAACATCAGTTAAAATATAATTGTGTGGCAGCATTGTTTAAAATGTCTCATGGTTAAGTCAGTATAGCTTTAGAGAGAAGGAGACTTCTGTCCCCATTTTTCTATAAATCTTTCTGCTGGGAAGGCATAGGGAATCAGCTCTATTTTTATTTTTTTGCTGCCTTAAGAGTATACTTTTGAAGTACACAGTTAGTGTAAAGAGTCAGGAGAAGGCAAATTTATTCATCTGCACTATTTTATGTCCCACATGTTAAAAAGTTTTCAGCGTGGTTTGTAAAATAAGTAGGACAAAATGGTACAGAATCAGAATATTCTGTGTTATTCCTTAAATCTGTCCTAGTTAGGCAAATCATAATGACATTTGCTGGCTTTTGAACTTGTGGGAGCAGTGCATTTGGTATCGCTAAGAAACAGTTGATGTGAAAGGCCCTCTGTCTAGTATTCATGGGCCTAAGTTCATTTATGGCTTGCATGGAATATTTTCCTGAAATATGGGTATATGTGTTAGAGCCATGTAGCAGTTCAGATTTGAAGGTACAAACCCATAAGTTCCCCCAGAACTGTGCAGCAATTTCAGAGGGCAGCCCTTCTGAACAATCCCAAGAAGAAGTAAGGTTGCTTTAGGAGTTGCAGACATGCTATATTTGCCCTCTGAGATCTTGACCATCTTGTGCCTTTGAATCAAAAACATTGCACAGGCCTATAATATATACAACAGTTTATGGAAGAAAGTATATTAAATTGTGAAGCCAGAGTAAAATGAAACACGGAAGAAGTTACAGATTGTGTAGCTACTTGAGAATAACCTAATAACAGTTTGTGGGTGTGATGGGTTTTTGTATTCATGAGCTGACTTGACACATGATGTGATAAATATTTTATTCACAGGAAATAGAGTTAAACCTCTTAATGAATGCCAGTGAGCAGAGGTAGCTCAGATTACTCTTTCTGTATTTGCTAAAATTTCTCTTCAGATGATTCAGAACACTTATCTTTGTTTTCCTCATTCCATTTTTAGATTCTTGTAATATTATATATAAAATTCAACTCTCTTTACAGTATAGTATTTTTCTTATATTCAGCTCTTGTCAAACCTAAATGTTTGTTCTGTAACATTCTTTGTGTAGTATTGTGACTTCAAAAACCTTCCTGGTTTTTTTCCCAGATTATTTCTTAAATGCACTTGCTTTACCCAGCCTTGTGTTACTTTTCATTTACCTCAAATTTCATTTTGTACTATAGCTTTGTCAATTTAATATAACTTACAGCCCTTTATAAATAGGTCATGTTACATTTATGTGCTGTGTAGAATTTAGCATAGTTTTTGAAAGAATAATAACAAGCATTATTGCCTACTGGATGTGTTTGTGGATAATATAAACCATAACCTGCCATCATGTACCTTTGAGTGAGTCTCATTAGCTTAACGTTAGTAAAACATATTGCCTTGAAGTGAGCAACTATTTAAAAACTCCAGGATTGTAATAAACTTATAAAGTTCTCTTTATAGAAAACAATTATTTGCAAAATCATATGTATAGCACTATCACACATGTTTCATTCTTAGAATGTTGCTGTCTTTAGATGCAAGTACCCTCTAAATTAATTTTGGTTATTTGTAATGAGCAATCTAAGGCTATCCATTAAAAATGAGTGTAGTTTAAAGGGGCAGCCTTGCAAGTCATTTTTGAGAGTTGGTCACCCATCTAGTGTCCCTTCTATCCGTTCTAGTTTGAGACTGTAAGATAACTCAAAACTTTTTGAATAGGTTCAATAATTCTAATTTTTAATATCATGAAAGTGTTGATTAGTTTTGCGCTAGAGCCCAGTTTGCCCTATTATTTCATTTATTTTATAGATCAGTGAGCATTTACCATAAAAGTAGAATTCTAGAAAGTTGTTTTTACTCCATGTTGTTGTTGCTTTTTCTACACCAGTAAGGTTGATAGGAATCACATAGATGATTGAAATATATATATACATTTTGTTTTTAGCAACCTCAGCTACTTCATGCTGAGGTTTCATCTCCCTTCCAAGCTTTTCAATCTTTTAAATGTACATTAAGTATACTGCAGTGAGCAATTTTTAAAAAACAAATTAGAGTGTTCACACAGAATGATTGTCATCGGTGGAGGAGGCTGAATTGTTCACAAATCAGTTCAATGATGTAACAAGGACAGTCATATTATCAGAAAGCAAGCTATTGGTTTCTGATAATATGCCACGCCTTGTAATCCTATCCCCCCGCCTCTCTGTCATTCTAGTTTACTTTAATCTTTTTTCTAGGCAGATAGATAGAATGCCATACCAAATATTGGCTTGCAGCCATTACCCATTTTTATTTTCTAAGAACAGACCCCAGAGGCATTGCTGTAAAGTATATAAGGTAAAGCTGATGCTACTGTACATGTAGGGACCTTGGTTTGCAACTTAACAGCTTCCCAGTTTTTTGTTATTAAAAGAATTATAAATATATTTGGTCAAGGGGCCTAATGAATGCAGAGGTTGGTATCTGTGAAGACTTGCTGTTCTCCTTGGCTTAAAGCTATTAGGAATAGGGCAAGGTTGGTGCGCTCCAGGTTCTTTCAATTAAACAATGCCATCTGCCAGGACCCCGGAAACGCGCCTTCTCTGTAGCAGTGCCTGCCCTCTGGAATGAAATTTCCCCCAAGATTTGAATGGCCCCAACCCTGCTGATGTTACGAAGGGCCCTGAAGATCTGGCTCTTCACCCAGGCCTTTGGCAAGTGTGATTGAAGCCCCCTTTTCCTCTTTTTCTTTGTTCCCATCTGTGTTTGTTATCAATGCCATCTTTGTTCCTTTTGTGTTGTTTTCTTGTTTTTAAATGTTTTTAACAATTTATAAACCATCCAGAATAACTGGGAGGTGGGTGGCATATAAATTTAATAATAATAATATTTATTAATAATATAATAATATAATTAATATTAATAATGATG